GTGATGGCATTGGATAAGGCAACCTTCGTCAAGGAATCCAGGGTCTGGAAGCAGGTGGAAAACCAATTGTGGATTGGCCATGGATATCACCGCCGCCCTCATCAGACAGGAACCCTCTAGGGTCTGAAGCCTCCTGGGCACGTTCCTTAACGAACACCCCCACCGTATCCCGGAAGGGGCAGCGGCCCAAGGCTCTCTTTTGATCGTGTAGCTGTTCCAGGAGCCATGCTGAGGGTGGGCCGGCGGAGTTTCTCTTTGATGAATGACGAGGAAAAAAAGGGCTGGCGGATCCTTTTTCCTGAGTGTCCCGAGCGAAACGCTTGCTCTACATAATTGGTTGAGGACGTCTCAGGCGAAACGCTCGTTTTGCAGTTGGGGGCGGCTCGAGCGAAACCTTTGGTTTCTCGTGTCCAGGTCGCCCAGGCGGATGTCTAGCATGATGATGTGTTGAGGATCTCGCGAGCGGCGCGCTTGGTTCACGTGTCCAGGTCGCCCAGGCGGATGTCTAGCATGATGATGTGTCGAGAACATCTCGAGCGAAACGCTTGTTTTCGCGTTCCCAGGTCGCCCAGGCGGATGTCTAGCATGATGATGTGTTGAGAACATCTCGAGCGAAACGTTTGTGTTCACATGTCCAGGTCGCCCAGCGGATGTCTAGCATGAGGTGTAGAGAATGCCACTAGCGAAACACTTGATTTCAAGCGCCCAGGTCGCCGAGGCGGATGTCTAGCATACGTCTCGAGCGAGTCGCCTGTTTTCACGTGTCCAGGTCGCCCAGTGTTGAGGATGTCTGGAGCGAGACGCTTGGTTTCATGTCCAGGTCGCCCAGGCGGATGACTAACATGAGGATGTGTTGAGGATGTCTCGAGCGAGACGCTTGCTTTCGCGTGTCCAGTTCGCCCAGTCGGATGTCTGGCATGAGGATATGTTGAGGACGTCTCGAGCGAAAAGCTTGTGTTCACGTGTCCAGGTTGCCCAAGCGGATGTCTAACATGAGGATTTGTTGAGGATGTCTCGAGCGAAACGCTTTGCGCAGTAGAGTGCGTCGCAGTTCGACTACGCCCTCCGTAGGGCATCTCCTGGCGCACTGGCGTGTCCCCTGGCGCGTCCCTTACGACGTTCTGGCGTGACTTGCCCTGGCACGTCCACTAGCACGCCTCTCGGCGTGGCACGTTCCCTGGCTCGTCCTCTGTCGCTTCCTGGCTCGTCCCCAGGCGTTTCCCATACCCGTTCCGTTGCGCGCCCCTTGCAACGTCCCTTGGCATGACGTCCTCTGGCCGCCCCATGGCACGCGCCTCGGCACGTCCCATGTCAGGTCCCTGACACGTCCAAGGCACGTCTTCTGATACGTCCCCTGACACATCCCCTGGCGCATCCCCTATTGCGCCCCTGAAGGTGCCGTTCTGGATCAAGCCAACACGCCGCCTGACCGACCCAAGACACACCGCTCCTGCCCCACAGTTCAAAACGGTATGTCGGCTGGGAGGGGGCGGCTGCGCTGCGGCACCGCATCATGACCAAGAACATGGAGATGCTTGGAGTTCTACGTCATGCTTTTTCCGATGATGTGACCGACTCCCTGATGTGTGCTTGTTGTGCCTGTTGGCGGACACGTGGGTATACATGCGGTCAGCGCCCTTGGATGGCCGTCCCGTCAGCAGGTATTTCATGGGCTGCCTGGTCGTGTTCTGCAATCTCGTATCTGCGAGGCTCTGGGTCCACCGGATCGCTAACCCCCGCTTGCGAGTCGGCTTCCTTACGCCGTACACAACCTGATCGGAGTGGCCCTGGTGCGAGGGGGTCGCACGGAGGTGAACTGAGTGCCTTGCAGCGCGCGCCGCGCCTTTCCCCTCGAGGTCCTACGCCACCCAGGGGGCGTGACTTTGCGGGGGGTTTTCAACGCCCCGTCGCGTCCAGCCGACCGGGGATACCGCATAGCCTGTTTAGCTATGGCAGAGACGGAGTAAGTACATAATTCGAGTAATCATGCTTCTCCGATGTCTCGATCAAAAAAAATTGCGCCCCTGGCACATCCTGTGGCGCGTCTGTGAGCCTGTGCCCCGCGTCGTGTCGGTCCTTTTTGGAGCTGAGGCAGATTTTGAAGTCGAGTTGATTGAACGTCCCGCACGCTTCCACTTCAATTAGCTTTGGGACAGCCGCTGTGTGCTTAGGCAGTTCGAGCTTAAGATCCAGATCAGTTCGGTCAGGACTAGGATGCCGATGATGACTCGATCCACAACGCTATAGAGCACAATCGCGGCATGGCGCATCTCAATTCAACACGGCACAGCACCACCTCTGGTACGGTACATCAAAATCGATACATTCAGCATTGCATTTGCCCGTCGCCCAATCAAGTGTTTTGAAAACGTTGCCATGCCTCACATTTCCATGTTCTTTTCCGGGTTCGTGGGTCGATCATCATGCTCTTCTTCTTCTTCTTCTGCGAACCTCCTCCTGCTCCTCCAGGTTTGAAAAAAGGGGCGATACGACTCGTTCACAAGATCGCCTGAGTCAGACAATCCGGGAACGAGCCTCCTGTCGAGACGCAAACGCGGGTCTGCCGCCGTCTCACCCGGGCCACAATCAGCGCCGCTCGCTCACTTGCCCCTCAGGCTGCCCACCTTGTCCTTCGCGAACTGCACGTACGGCACGGCTCCCTCTTTGAAACTTGCTGCCTTCACGCCAGCGACATCTTTTAAGCTCGACGCCTTCATGCTCGCCTGCTTCTTCAGCTCCCTCACTGCCGGTGTTGCCTTCGCGTGGACCTCTACCCCCGTCTTGTGCATGCAGGGCTTCAGGCGGTCGGAGTTGTAGGCCCCGAGGCCGGCGCCGACCGCAAACCACCAGATTCCCTCGAGGCAGCATCCGGTCATTGCTGGTGAAGGGCAACGATAAAGGGGGGACTGGCATAACGGGGGCGCACCGACCTGGAATCGGCGATACATCGTCGATAGATCGGCAGTGGGCCCCCGATGCCAAAGCCGCACCTTCCTGGGCGGGTTGGGGCTCTTGGGCCCCTGTCGGCGATCACTGGGTGGTTGGGGGTCGATGCGTCCCCCCTGTGCCTGTCCCCCCCCGGTCGTTGCCCCCGAGCTCGGCACACTGAACGGCGCCTGTGGCCCGCTCCTGGGACGGAGACGCTCGGGGCGCAGGATATGCTGGAGCCAGAGAGAGAGGCCCACCCGAAGCGAAACGGTTACCGACGGCGCGCCGCGGCGGCGTGACCGACGCAACGGGTGGGGGCAGGCGCTAGTGGGCGGCAAGCGAGGGGGGGAAAGTGAGAGCGAGAAGGCCTTTCCAGAAGGCGGCGGGGCCTCTCAGAGGCCCTCGCACCTTCTGAGAAGTCTTCTGTCTTCGGGGGAAGATTAGAAAACTTCTCGCAGAAGGCTGGGAGGACCTCCGAACTTTCTGAGTAGGCCCGCCCCTTCTCACTTCCCTCCCGGGCTCGCCGCCGATTTAGACCGACCTCGTGCTAATCCATGTGAGGAGAAAACAGCGCGACACTTCAACACGAGCAACGCCCCTGCCCGCCCTCCCTCCCTCAGCGATTCTTTACAAGTGACCTGCGCGCCCGCGATCACACACCAGTTAGACACTAGAACCACGCGCGCGCTTTGCGCGCGCTTAGGTTCGCTCCGCTCACCTGTATGGCTGGCCACATGCTTCGCCACAAAAGAACACGTGAGACGACTTCGCACTACTGGGATCTCCACTGACGCACGAGGGGAGGCAGAGGGAACCAAGAACCTAACCCCAGCCCCAGTCCCCCTCCCCCCAACCTTCGCACAACGCCACATCATAGCCATCGTACGAGTGAAAGAGAGAGGAGGAGGATCAATGAGGCGAATCTCCAGATGCGAGCTGCAGTGTTACTGGCTGCGGAGGCGGCAGGACATGACATGACCTTTCTTTTTCGGGCCGCTGCCCGTGTACCGTCCTTGCCTGCGCCCATCCGAGAATTGGGTACGGTCGGGGCTGATTGGAGAGGACACGCCAGAGGACACAAGACCCTTCCGAGGGCCAGATTGCCACAGGAATGTAGAAGGCGTGGGTCGCGAAACATAGGACACAAGGGTACCCTTGGTTTGGCAGGGTCGACCTACTAATCAACCTCGACTGAAATTAGGGAGGTTCGCCAAAAGGAGGAGGCCTAGACTGCGGCGAGGGCACCGGCTTTGGGGGGGCGAATGCCCCGTGGAGTTGCAGATGATCGGTGCACTTTGCTACGAGATCGGCACAAAACTGTTCGGGGGTGAGGCTGTTTGCGAAGGTTCTTCTTCTTCTTCTTCTTTTCCACGTCCTGCTCCTCCTCCTCCTCTTCCTCCTTCTGCTCCCCCTCCTCCTCCTCCTCCTCCTCCTCCTCCTCCTCCTCCTTCTCTCCTTTCTCCCTCCTTCTGAAGGGGAATGCTGGGGGGGTGTATGTTACTGAGCGGGGTGGGGCAATCGGGCCCCTATCGGCGGAGAACGGGCGATTGGGGGTCGATGCGTTCCCCCCTGGGCCTATCACCCCCCCTACCCCTACTGATGCCCCTGACCCGCTCCTTCCCCCCTGCTCCTCCCGCCTCCAACGCCCGTGTTGGCGTTCGGGGATCTACTAACCCGGGTCAATGCAAACCCGGGTGAATGGGGCTTTGCAGGATCCTGCAGGACCCTGCGCGAGCCCGAGTCAGTGCACCCCTGGCTGCCTGGCTTTGCAGGATGCTGCAAGACCCGGCGCTCTGACCGACCCCGTTTGCATGGACCCCTGTCTCTCGGGGGCGACGAGGGGGGCGAATAACCCAGGGGAGAACAACTCACGTATCCAGGGGTGCCGATGGTCCATGCCTTCGGCGAAGCTCCCAGACGAAGACGTGTACGTAATGCCCGCCCCTGTGCTATTCCCCTCGATCGTCGCCTCCGAGTCGCAGGGCTCCTGAGGCGTGGGCCCAGCGCCAAGCCCGGCTCGACGGGCTCCAGAGAGCGCGCTGCCACCGGCCTCCGGCCCTCCACCCCCCCGCCGTGCGCACGGTGACGATGCTGTGTGAGCGGCTGGACTCGCTATTCATGTCCGTGCTCGCGACCGCGCGGTTCTTCTGCGCGGAGTCGATGCACCTTCCCCCAGGCAGGCGGACTTCTCTTCTTGTTCTGTCTCTTGTCCAAATGCTTTCCTCCAATCCGGCCTCCAGATGCCGTTTTCGGGCCCCGGGCTATCAAGCATAGATCTGGCAAGAAGAGCAAAACCCCGCCCCCACCATCCCTTGCAAACAGCAATGCGCATCGCACTCTGCACCAACACCTGAATCATGCGCGGGCGCCTCGTGCTCACTCTGCATTGGTTTATGACGGATGGCGGGGGTGCCAACGTACTGCCTGCTGTGTGCAACGCCGGCTCCCCATCATCCCGTCACAAGCGATACTAATAGCACTTTGCACCAAGATCTGGATCATGCGCGGGCGCCCAACGATCACTTTGCACAGGATTTTGACAGGGACGACGGGGGGAGGGGGGCGCATTGCCTGCTGTGCGTAGTGTCAGCGCCTCACATCATCCCTTTGCAAGAGCAGTACGAAGTGTACGTTGCACCAACATCTGGATCATGCGCGGGCGCCCCGCGAACATTTTGCGTTAGTTTTTGGCAGGGGCGGCGGGGGTGCTGGCATATTGCCTGCTGTGTGTCGGCCCACAATCCTTTTCAATAAAATGCGAAGTGCACTTTGCCAGAGACTGCGAATGTGTGGGGGGGGTCGGAATATTTCCTGCCGTGTGCAGACCCACCATCGCTGTCAAACACACGTGCAAGATAATTGTGAGGCGCCAGCGCATGATCCATGTCTGCGCACATCAAACAGAATGCTGTCAATTTCGCTGTCATTTTTCATTGGCTTTCGGTGGGAATGGTGGGGGGTCGGCATCTTGCCGAGTGTGGCGCAACTGGTCCGTATAGAGCGCCTGGCGTGTGCGGCGCGCCTCGCAGGCTTCGCGCGCCTGGCTGGCGTCTGCACTTGTTCCCGATGGTTGTCGATGGCGCCCCCTGCGTATGCTTAGGTCGGGTATGTCCCCCTACGGGCGGATTTTCGACGAAGTAAAACAAATATCCAAAACTTACCCTGGCGACGTACCCAACCCCTGCGCAATGCGGGGCATGAGTAGCTTGGGAGACGTTATACGGAGGTAATGACGTGACATGGGCGCATCTACCTCTGCGAGCGCCATTCGTGAAGCTCGCACCCCACCCAAGGGTTGCGAAGTCCCGCTCAAGTCTGCGCGGTGCCTCACTCCGCTGGATCCACCAGCAGCCCTCGAAAGTGGCGACAATGTCGCAGATCCCAGCCTCCCAAAGACGGCGCGGTCCTGCTTAAGTCTGCGCAGTGCCTCATTCCGCTGGACCCACCAGCAACCCTCGAACGTGGCGACAGTGTCGCAGCTCGCAGCCCCCAAGGTCGCAGATCGCAACCCCCCTAAAGACGGCGAGGTCCCGCTCGAGTCTGCGCGGTGCCTCAATCCGCTGGACCCACCAACAGCCCTCGAAAGTGGCGACAATGTCGCAGATCGCAACACCCCAGGGACAGCGAGGTCCCGCTCAAGTCTGCGCGGTGCCGCACTCCGCTGGACCCACCAGCAGCCCTCGAAAGTGGCGACAATGTCGCAGATCGCAGCCCCCCAAAGACGGCGCGGTCCTGCTTAAGTCTGCGCGGTGCCCCACTCAGCTGGACCCACCAGCAACCCTCGAACGTAGCGACAATGTCGCAGCTCGCAGACCCCCAAGGTCGCAGATCGCACCCCCCTAAAGACGGCGAGGTCCCGCTCAGGTCTGCGCGGTGCCTCACTCCGCTGGACCCACCAGCAGCCCTCGACAATGGCGACAATGTCGCAAATCGCAGCCCCCCAAAAACGGCGAGGTCCCGCTCAAGTCTGCGCGGTGCCGCACTCCGCTGGACCCACCAACAACAATGTCGCAGATCGCAACCTCCCAAGGACGGCGAGGTCCCGTTCAGGTCTGCGCGGTGCCTCACTCCGCTGGACCCACCAGCAGTCTTTGCCAGCGATGACGGGGGTGTCCTGGCACGCGCGGCGCACCTCGTGGCCGTCCCGCACCTCTCCGGCGTCTGCCTTTGTTCCCGACCATTGTCGATGGCGGCCCATGCTCATGCTGAGGCTCTGGTGCTACTTCTGTGGTGGGAGGGGCGGGCGGGAGTGAGCGACACGGCCGTTCTTCGGGCGGAGATGGCTTGATCACTGATCCCTATTACTAAACGCCCCCTCCCCCACCTGACCGGCAGCCGACCTGGACCCATGCTCCCCACCCCCAGACCATCCCTGTCAACAAACCAATACTGATGCGCTTTGCCTCCGTATCTGGAGCATGCGCAGACGTCCCGCGACCACATTGTTTTTGCTTTTGACAGGGACGGGAGGGGGTGCGGCAGATTGATTGCTGCGCGCAGGCCAACCATCCCTGCCAACAAACAACACTAAACATACTTTGCCTCCAAATCTGGAGCATGCGAGGGCGCCCCGACTGCGGGGGGGCGACATGTTGCTCGCTGGGTGCAGGCCAACTACGCCTGTCAATAAAAAGCACAATATGCACTTTCCGACGACACCTGGATCATGCGCGGACATCCCGCGATCACTTCAATTGCCGACGACATCCTCTTTGCACTCTTCCATGGGGCGCTCTTCTGTCTGAGTTCATGTGTCCCACGTTCCCTCAAGATGTTGCAAATTGTCCATCGGTGCTGGTGCTTCGTGCTCCCTGGAGGAACCGCCCTTCTCTTCGCTTCAGGGGAATCCAAGATCATGAGCTCCTTGGGGTCGGGGCCCCAGGTGCCTGAGTTCTGTATTGGTTCCCCGTAGCTGTCCATCCGATGGTGGCGCATCTGGCAAACTCTGCGCGCGCCGCGCGCGTGGCGCACCTGGCGCGGCTGGATCACGTGGCACACTTGCAGCATTTGGAACACGTGGCGCACCTGGCCACATGGCATGCATGCGTGGCGCTCCTAGGCGACATGCTGGGACTAAGGTGCTACTCATGTGCCTGGGAGAAGTGTCTTGACCCCTTCCCCTGATTACCCCCTCCCCTGGTCTGGACGGTGTGTGTGTGTGTGTGCCCAGTCAGAGAGCCCACGATAACCCAACATTGCTCCAAGAGAGCCCCTGATGGCCAACAAGATGGCTCAGAAGAGCGCAGGGTCGCTCAAGATGGCTTCCAACATGCTCCAAGAAGTCCCAATACCGCTCCAAGACGAGTCCAAGTGGTTCTGGGGGATTCCGAGGACGCCCCAAAGAGGCCTACATCCATCCAAAACCGATGTAAAGAGCAATGTCTTCGGCCTTCTCGCCTGTTCGCATCCGACTGCTTTCCGAGGCCTCAAGGTGGATCCAAGAGTGCCTAAGGGAAACCCAAGAATGGCCCAAGAGGGCTCCAATACGGCCCCAGAGCGCCCCAAGAGAGCCCGAAGAGACGGCTCTAGGCTTGCGAGGGGCGATGCAAATCGAGGCCCCCGTCTTCCTTGGTCGATGTCCTCCGAGACGGTCCCGAGAAGGCCTCCGAGACTTCCAAGAGGGCCCCACGAAGGCCCCCACAGGCCAGGCCCCCGAGACGCTCCCCGTCGGGCCCGGGCCCCCGATGCCGCCTCTCCCTCCTCTGCCCGCCCTCCCCTCCCCGACCCGCTTCTCGTCACTGGGCTTGGTCCTCCTCCTCTCCTCCCCCTCCTCCTCCTCCTCCTCCTCCTCCTCCTCCTCCTCCCGCTGGATGTGTGCGGCTTGCTTCGGCAAGCGCCGTGGGGGAGACAGGCCTCATGAAGGGAGGCGCCCTGGATTCCCAGAGCGGCTGCGCGACATACTTCGTGACCTCAAAGGGGCACAAACTGCGAATCGCGGACTTTACCGCCTCGGAAGGCAGATGTGTAACAACATGTAACGGCTGCGGCAATTACACGATCGATGGCCGGCCTGAAAGTTTGCCGGCCCAATGTAATGAAGACGTGGAATCCGACGGCTCCAATGCTGCTAAACAACGTGTTGGTGAACGTAAACGCCCGTCTTACCAGTACAGGGGTCGGCCAAGATGCTGGAGCCCGCCTTGGCTTTAGACCTGCGCCGCGTGTGAGATGGGAGGTTGGCGTGGGAGTGCTTTGGGATACCGCCCCTCATCTTCTGGGGCTCGGGCCTCATCCCCGTACTTCCACGCTGGCTCATTTCGTCTCTACTGCCCAAAGTGTTCATCTCATCTCGTCCCCAAGAGGCCACCAAGAAGCACCCAGGAGACATCCCAAGCGTCTCCGAGAGGCATCCGAGAGGCAAGAGGCATCGGCCCAGAAGTATCCGCATGATGCCACGCTCCCCCGAGAAGGGCAGCTTCCCTAGGCATCGTTCCTGGAGTGGCCGGTGGGGATGCGCGACGCGCGCTTACAATGCAAACTAGCCTCTGAACATCAACTTTCCGGAATCCGCCCGGGCTTCCAGGGTCGGCGCTGGACGCAGCCCGGAAAAGCGGCCAGGATAGACCACGGGAGCGGATCTTGGTCGAGGAGGGGGGGGTCGGCGGACGAGTCCGATCTTGGCGTCGTGAGACAACACGCGGCGGGCATCCCCGGCCCGTCCTGGGCCCCGTGGGCCCTCACGGGTCGATCCAGCGGGGAGTTCCAGTCAGGAGTCTCGCCACCACGTCGTGCCTTGTCGCGTCGGATCTCGGGATCCACTCCTCCTCCTCCTCCTCCTCCTCCTCCTCCTCCTCCTCATCTCTGCCTCCACCTACACCTCTCCCACCTCCCCCAAACCCCCGACGTCGTGATCTTTGCTCACAGCGGGTGCCCCGGAAATCTCGGCCCCTTCTCTGGAGCTGGCTCTGGCCCCGAGCAATTTTGTCTTTCACGGCCCTGGGGCCTGGCGATGCGACAGAGGCGGAAGACCTTCCGCCGTGATCTGTGCTACGGCGCGAGGGCTTCTGGATGCACCGGTCCTCTCCCGCTGGCAGACTGGAGCAGCGGGTCTGGACGAGTGATGCGCGATGGCGATCGAGACAAATGCAGGGGTGACGATGCAGAACATACGGTCACCCCGTGTACAAAGGACGCATGGTAAGGATGCAGGGTCCTTGGAAGGCCGTGCCGACACTTTACAGGCGGGGCGCATCCAGCGAGAGCGGCCCAGGATGGGCCCAAGGGGAAGGATACAAAGGTAACCTTGGACAATTGCTCATCCTGATTATGCGGATCGGTAGTACTTGTCTGCCGATGGCGACGACGACGCCCGCGAGCAAGCATGGATACCAATTTATCAAGCATCGCCCAGGGTGTCGCTGCGGGACAGCCCCCCTGAACATTTCGTAATCGTCATCCTGAATAAGAGCACTTGCCAGCGTAGACCTCAAACAGTGCGCTCTTGCACTCTGGGTGTGTATGCGATGTGGTGCGCGCTATGTGGTGTAAGCTATGTGCGCTTCAAGCAATGCGGTGCAGTCCATGTGTGGTGCAAGCTATGCGGTGCAAGCTGCGTGTGGTGCAAGCTGTGCTGTGCAAGATGTGCGCTGCAAGCCATGCGGTGGAAGGCATACTGTGCAAGCTGAGCGGTGTAGGCTTTGAGGTGTACACGCTGTTCGGAACAAGTGGGTAAAAACATGAAGCAGGAAGGCGTTGGAAGTAGATCGGGCTTCCGCCCGCTCCCTGAAGAGGAGGGAAGAAAGGAAACCGGTCGGCCCCTGAAGTAGGAAGGCGCCAAAAGTAGATTGGGATCTGGGCATTCTTAGACACCCACCTTTCAACGGCCAGCGTGTAAGGTAAGCAACGTGGTGTGAGCTGTGTAATTAGTGCGAGCAGCGCGGTGCAAGCAGCACGCGCCGCCCATGAGGCGCCCACGCCCGCCCCGGAGGGGTACGCTGGGAAAGCGCATTCACAATCTGCTTGCGCGGCGTCGGCGCGCGCAGAGGATTTCGATACCGCGTCGATCGCTCAACCTTGGACCGATCGCGGCCCCGATCGTTCAAAGTTGAGATTCGTCGGGTCCAGTGAAACTAGCGTGCTCCTGTGTGCTTCCGCGTCGCAGATTTTGATCTTGGACGCCTTCGCCGGCGTCGCCGGCGCGCCATCGCCGCATGAACCTACCGTACCCTGCCGCAGTCGGGATTTGGAATGATTTTGACGGTGACGAATGGCTCTCCACCTTCCTTCCGCAAAGCTTGACGCCATGGCGCGCCCCAAGTACATCGATGTCCGCCCGGAGAAATACTAGGAATTCAAAATGCGTCGGCAAGCACGTCCAAAGCAGACTCCAAAGCGATGCACTCAGCTATGAAATCTGTACTCGGCCCATGTATGCTGATGTCTGCATGGCCTACCATGTTGTACACCCAGGAGCCCCCTCATCACACCCTCCGAAAAACCTTCCGATGCGACTCTTTCGCGACAGGAGCGTACCTAGGTTCTGTAATCGGGCCCCTCTCTCGGGCCTCTGGCGGCCGTTCGGGACGATTCGAACACCCCCGAACACTCGCGCCGAGGCGCAGCTGCTGGAAAGCATCGTTCTTTTCGAACAGCAGAAAGGAACATACGAAGACGTCGAACACCTCAAACCTCGAAGGCTAGGTGGGGATCCTCTGCCTTCTCCTCCTCCTCCTCCTCCTCTCCTCCATCCTCCATCCGTCTTCCGTATGACAAATTTCTCCCTGTCGCACACCCAAGCGTGTTGGTAGGGCGAGCTGGACGTCTCGCCGAAGACTTCTCACAATTTGCGGTCCTGGAGCTTGCATTCTGCAGCAGTCCCACGGAGAGAGGGGGCTGGTTTTCATAACGTGGCTCTCGCTCCAGCGGCGAACGCGCTTGTCTGACAAGTATGCAGCAGCTTCACGGATACAACGAGGGTGGACTTCAACATGTGGTTCTATCTGTAGCACCGCGCACATTCGTCTGAACATTTCGCGACAGCTTCACGGATGGAGGGGAGGTTGTTTTCATAATGTGGCTCTCGCCGTAGCGCCGCGCACGTTCGCCTTGACCATGTGCAACAACTTCACGGATGGAATGGGGGTGGTTTTCAAAATGTGGGTCCCACCTTAGCGCCGCGCGTAATCGTCTTAAACAAAAATTGCAGCAGCTTCACGGGTGGAGGTGGTGTCGCCTTCAAAATGTGGCTATCGCCTTAGAGCCGCGTCCATTCGTGTCAAAACGTTGTCGCAAATTCACGGTTGGAGGGCGGCTCGTTTTCACAATGTCGTTCTCGCACTAGCGCCGCGCACATTCGTCTTGACAATTGTCATTGTCATCAACTTCGCGAATGCAGGGGCGGTTCAACATGTAGTTTTCTCCTCAGCGCTGCGCAAATTCATCTTGAACGTTCGCAGCAATTTCACGGGTGGAAGGGGGGTCGTCTTCAAAATTGTGCTCATACCCCATCGCTGCGTACATTCGTTTCAGAATATCGCGAATGGAGGGCGGCTCGTTTTCAAAATGTGGCCCTCGCCTTGGCATCGCGAGCAGACTGTGAGGTTCTCGCCTAAACGCCGCGCGTTTTCCTTTCTTAGTCCAGCGTGGAACAACATGAAAAACTGTGCTTTTCACACTGGAACTCACGTTTAAAGACCCGGAACATCAACGCACGTAGCGCTGCACGGATCGATGGTGGCTCTGCTTCAGAATGGAGCTGTCGCTTGGAACTTCTTCGAAGTTCAAGACCACAATTGCAACCTGTGAGCAGTTACGTGGATGTGGGACGGTTCTTCTTCGAAGGGGATCTCGGCGGACACCTCCTTGACCTGCATGACTATTGTCTTCGCGTTTCTGATTACATGCCAGAAAGTTGCAAGGCAATTCGTGTTCAAGGCGGGGCCCTCGCCAAAATTGCAGGCCCAATTGTGATGGTCTTTCAGTGGGGGCACTGCTTACAGTGAAAAGGAGGAATCTTAGGGGCGTGCGAGGAAGGGCGTTGCGACGGGAGGGTGTATTGCAGCGACGCTTATGCACCTTTGTTTTACTCTGGTCCTCCTCCTCCTCCTCCTCCTCCTCCTCCTCCCTCGCGCGGGTGACCTGCAGTGGTCCCCCCCCCGAAGGCCCCACGTGAGGACGTCGTCCAGCTTGCTGACGTCGTGCGCGCTGAGCCCGGGCACGCTGCAGGACCCTGGGAGGGCGCGGCCGCGGGACGGGCCCTCCTTGAGAGCACTGCATTCGGGCATCCGGCGGCCCTCTTCGGGCCCCAGGGCGGTCAGCTTCGGAACCGGGGCGAAGCACTTCCCGCAGGGACGGGGTCCACGCAGTCAAACTGAGACGAAGGATGCGCGATACGGATGCAAGGACCTTGGACGCCCACGCCGACGCTTCTCGAGCGGGGCTGGCCATCGAGAGTGGCAAAAGATGGACCGAAGATGACCAAAGAGGCAAGGATGACGAACGAACAGCACGCACCCATACCCAGAGGGGGAGCGTTGAGAGGAGGACTGGCTATGGGTATGGGTGCGGGTTGTCGGATCCTGGGGGGCGCTTCCTTTCGAGCGGGGACCCCCATCCGACAACACGCACCCATAGCCCGCTCCGTCCCACCTACGGATATGGGTGCGTGCTGTTCGTTCGTCAACGGATGCACGGGCACCCTGCTGGGAAGCCGCTCATCCCTGCTGTCAGTGCTGACTGTGCCACTTGGGACGCGGGTGAAGCAACTCACACCGGCGGACGTCTTGAGGAGGAGGAGGAGGAGGAGGAGGAGGAGGAGGAGGAGGAGGAGGAGGAGGAGGGATGGAGGAGGAGGGATGGAGGAGGAGGAGGAGGAGGAGGAGGAGGAGGAGGAGGAGGAGGAGGAGGAGGTGGGGAAGCGAGACGGGGGCGGGCCTCCTCAGACGGCTCGGAAGGCCTCCGGCTTTCCGAATTTTTTTCGTCAGAAAAAAGCTGGGGGGCTTCCGAGGCGCCCCGAGGCCTTCTGAGAGGGCCTTCTCCTTCTCACTTCCCCCCTCGCTCGCCGCCGATGCTGGGAGGCCGCAGCCTTCCCCATGGCTTCTCAGAAAGCCCTCCTCCCCCCACGCGCCACCCCGTGTGCGCGCAGCGAAACTCCTCAACAGGCATCCGCCGCCTCGAACAACAAATCGGGGCGGCCGGCTTGTCTCGGGACTCTCGGCCTCCGCATGCCTGTTTCGGGCCTTGAGGCCGCCGTGCAACGACCGGGGGGCCCGCCGGAATCGACATCGGATCGGATCGAACTTGACCCTGCGTCGGGTCCATTCAGGATGCTGCCATCCTCCTCCTGGCCTGACTGCGGCCTCCCTCTTGCCGCCTCCTTCCCCAGGCCATCCCGCCCACCCTAATCCTGGAGGTGCGCGCGAGGCAAGGATGAGCGGCCCCTGCCCCACACCTCCCGGCGTCTTGAGAGACAAATGGCTTCGGACTTACTGGCTACCCGTCCCTGGGGAGCCCTCGCCGGCCCTAGGGCCGTCAACACGCGGCTCGGGAGGAGGAGGAGGAGGAGGAGGAGGAGGAGGAGGAGGAGGAGGAGGAGGAGGATTTAGTACTCCGCGGGCCGCCCGTCGCTTCGTACCCCGCCGAGGCCCGAGGCGAGACTAAGGGGAGGCGAAGGGAGAAGGAGGAAAGGGGGAGGGAGGAGGACGGGCAGTCGCTCGGCCGCGACTGCCACCTGGGGCCCCAGGAGGGGCCACCCCCAGGAATAGCCTCGACGAAGTACCTGACTGGGGTCCCAAAAGGGGCCACCCCCAGCAATACCAGCACGCCGAGGCCGTCCTCGGAAGGGAGGCTGCAACCATGAAAACCACAGTAGCCTCCAAACTACCAAAATGATCGAAGTAAGAGTAGCAGCTGAGCAGAAGAAATTAGAGCTGCAAGTACGGGGCCCTTGCGAACCATGACGCGCCCCCACAGGAGAATGCCACAAGCCAGCATGCCCAAGACGGAGAACCGTGCTCCACGGCTCCACATGGGGTCCTAAGTGGGGCCACCCCCAGGAAAAGAGCGCCTCGGCGAAGCACATGGCTGGGGCCCCACGGGGGGTCACCCCCAGCAAAGCTGCACGCCGAGGCCGCTCGAGGTGGAGGCCAAAACCATGAACACCACAGCGGCCCCCATCGATCAAACTGACCTGACAGTAAAAGTAACAGCTGGAATAGAGTTAGAAGCTGCTGGTGCTGGGTGACTTGCGGGTGATCATGCCACGTCCCTTAGGGATAATGCCACACGCCAACTTGCCCAAGCTCTGATAACCATAGTGCCCGAGATGACCGCTGCACTCGTCCGCAAGTCCTCTCAAGAAATGCTTGCCGACACAGCCACACTTCAAGCACGCGTGAATCTGCAGGCCACTGAAGTACCACAACAAATGGGATTCATGTATCGGTACACCTCGCACCAAAACCCCAAAGTCACCAACTCGCTGGATACTGCCCTTGGCAACACCAACCAGGCAAGGTGTCTCCAGGAACTTCTCCAGCTTCCGACCACTGGCACTGCAGCCACAAGCAGAGCAATGGAAGGCCGTACCCATATCAGTATACACCTGATGCTCCGACATCGTGACTTTACGCCGAAACCACACCGCCATAGAACGTGTTGGCCGCAATCTCTTCGGTTCAGCCTCCGCTGCTGCCAAGAAAGCCTTGGCCTGGTGCTTCCGTACTGCTCTGCCAATCGCCTCAGCGTGCTCCACAGCTGCGACCACCGTATTTGGAACCGCACACTTCTCGGCCCAAAAGCCTGCCGCTTCATCAGCCAACGCATTGGCCAGGTAATGTTCAACATTTGTGCCAGCGTTCGACGCCTCTTCAATCGACATGTGGCTCTCGATTTTGACAAATCTGACTAGTGACGGATGTGGCAACAAAACTCGCTTCAGCTTTAACCAGAGGTCCAAATTGGTCGTCGGGAGCTGACCTGCGTTGAGCTTGGCGGTGCCCTTCATGACGTAGCCCGAGCCCGTGACACAAGTGATGGGCACCCCAAGCCCTGAGAGATCCTCCGCAGCCCTGAGCAGAGCCGTCGTCTCCCCCTGTTGATGGTTTGTTTCAAGGAAATGCCACCCCCTCGGGAATACAACAGCTTGACATCCAAGGCAAGTTCGCGGAGGACTAATTTGGTACGACCAACCAATCCGCCGAAGCTGTGGGTCTCCAGTTTGAGCACCACCAGACGCGTCACCACCGACAAGTAGTTGTCCGCACCCTTGAATGTCATCGTTGTGGCCCATAACCTCGTCATACAGTGTATCAGTCGGCTCGTCCACGTGCGTCCAAGACGGAGGTACGACTCCTCGAAACCATAGACCTCCTGAGCACGACGGATAAGGTTCTGAGAGATGGTCGGGAAAAAGGCCATTGCAGGAACAAGTCCAACTGCGATGGAGATCTGTCTCCTCCTCGTCGCAACCGCATCTCTGACAGTCCGTGGTGTCCAACTTGCTGCTACTCAGAATGGCTATCCTGCTGCGTGTCCAAAAGGCTCCCGTCATGACTGCCTCGATGGCACCCGCCATCTCTAGTTCACCTTTCTTCCGCAAGATAGCGAGGTGCCGACGCGCTTCTCGTAGATCAGCTGCTTCTGATAGGCCCTTGCCATTCCAGTGGCTCGAAGCCTTGTCCCATAATAACCTATCGATGGTGTCCGAAATGGCGTCTTAGAGGGCACTCATGTCCTGGGGTGGAGGAGGAGGGGGAGGTGGAGGAGGAGGAGGAGGAGAGGCCGGGGGATTATGGATCTCCTCGTCGTTTTCATACCGTTTTTATCGAGTGGAACGCTCTTTCACCCTTTAAATGTGATTGCTGTTTGTCATTTTTCTTTTCGCCGTGATCCCTTCATACTAATCTTGTCTCGTTATATCGTTCTCTAGTGTTCTCTCTCTCTCTCTCTCTATTTGTCTCCCTCTTTCTCTCTTTGTTCATCTCCTGCACCAGGCCAATGCATGCCGACGCGATACACATCCATTCCCAGCCAAAACCAATGCCAATGCAATGCCAACGGGGGAATCCGTTCGTTCGGTAGATTTCAATACGACTACTTTGTGGATGCTGTTATCCTTATTCGGAGGATTTCGATAGCAATGCTTATGTGTAGGGTTTCGATCGGGATCCTTATGTGGAGGGTATAACTAGGAATCCTTCATGTGTGAGGATCTAATAGGAGTCGTCATTGTGGAGGGTTTCAGTAGGAGTTCGTCTGCGGAGGGAGCCACTAGGACTCGCCAGCGCAATGCCAACGCACTGCTAACGCACTGCCAAACCAATTCCAACGCGATCCCAATTCAATGCCAATGTGGGGTATCCTTTGTAGTAGATTCCAAATAGAATCCTACCTGTGGAAAGTTTGGATTTGAATCTTTCCGTGGGGGGGTTCAGTATGAATCACTTATGTGGGGGGCTTTCAAAAGGATCCCTTCTTGTGGAAGGTCAGGATTCCTTCTGTGGTGGGGGCCATTCGAACTCGCCAGCGCAATGCCGAAGCAGTGCCAATTCAATGCCAAACCACTGCCAATGCAATGCCACTGGGGGGGAACTGTTTGTCGTAGATTTCAATAGCAATCCTTCTAAGAACCCTTCTTCGGGGGATTTCAATAGGAAGCCTTTTATGGAGAGCTTCGCATGGAACCCTTCGGTTGGGGATTTCAATTTGAATCCTTCTTGCGGGGGGGATTCAATCTGCATCCTTTTTGTGGGGGTGTTCAATAGGAATGTTTCTGTGAAGTGTTTGAATAAGGCTCGCCAGCGCAATGCCAACGCAATGCCAGCGCACTGCTAACGCACTGCCATCGCAATGCCAAACCAATGCCAAGGCGATCCCAATTCAATGCCAATGCAATGCCAATGAGGGGGTATCCTTTGTGGTAGATTCCAGATAGAATCCTACCTGTGGATGGTTTCGATTAGGATCCTTCCGTGGGGGGGTCAATATGAATCACTTATGTGGGGGGCGTTCAAACGGATCCCTTCTTGTGGAAGGTAAGGAATCCTTCTGTGATGGGAGCCATTCGAACTCGCCAACCAACGGGGGGATTGTTTGTGGAACCCTGCTTCGGAGATTTCAATCGGCAACCTTTTATGGATGGCTTCGCATGGAACCCTTCTGTTGAGGATTTCAAGTTGAATCCTTCTTGTGGGGGGATTCAATAGGCATCCTTTTTTTGTGGGGGTGTTCAATAGGAATGCTTCTGTGAAGTGTTTGAATAAGGCTCGCCAGCGCAATGTCAACGCAATGCCAACGCACTGCTAACGCACTGCCATCGCAATGCCAACGCAATGCCAATGCGATGCCAAACCGTTGCCAAAGCAATGCCGATGGCGGGATTCTTGTCTTCCAACGGGCTTCACTAGGAATCCTTATGTGAATGATTTGATTACGAATCCTTCTTCGGAGGATTTCGATTGGAGTCGTTCCGTGGAGGGTTTCGTTTGGAATCTTTATGTGGGGTGTTCCACTCCAATGCCAACGCGATCCGAATTCAATGCCGCCAATGGGGGGAAATCGTTTGTGGCCGGGTTCAAGAAGAATCCGTCCATGGAGAGCTTCGAATGGAACCCTCCCGTGAGGGAGTTCAATGTCAACCCTTCTTGTGGGATGCTTCAATCGGAATCCTTCTTGTGAGGGTTCAATTGGAGTCACTCTGCGAAGGGAGGTGTTGGAACTCGCCAGCGCAATGCCAACGCAATGCCAGCGCAATGTCGACGCAATGCCACACCAATGTCAAAGCGATCCCAACCCAATGCCAATGCACTGCCAATGGGGGGAACTCCTTTGTGGTAGGTTTCAATCGGGATCCTCATGTGGAGGGTTTCGCATGGAATCCTTCTGTGGACGGTGTTAGTATGAACAGTTTTTTTGTGGAGGGTTTCACTAGGAGTCCTTCTTGTAGAAGGTTTCGATCGGAGTCCTTCTGTGGAGGGTTCCATTAGGACTCGCCAGCGCAATGCTTGCGAAATACAAGCACGGTAGCAACGCACTGCCAAGCGCAATGCCAACGCACTGTCAATGCGATGCCAAACCATTGCCAAACCAATGCGAATGCAATGCCAACGGGGGGGGTCTTTCTTTCGAAGCATCTCAATATCAATCCTTCTGCGCGTGATTTCGATAGGAATCCATCTGTGGAGGATTTCGGTAGGAATCATTCAGTGGAGGGTTTCGATAGGAATCCTTCTGTAGAGGACTTCACTATGAATCCTTCGTGTGGGGGCGTTCAATAGGAATCCTTCTAGAGGGGGGGGGGGGGGCAGATGAGGCCACGTCGCATTCCTTTTTTTCCGCCGCCGACCCCCCCCCAAACAAAAAACATTGTTTTTTTTTGGATATATATATATATATATAGAGAGAGAGAGAGAGAGAGAGAGAGAGAGAGAGAGAGAGAGAGAGAGAGAGAACGAGAGAGAGAGAGAGAGAGAAAAAAAAAGAGAGAACAAACAAAAAGGAGGAGGATGCGGATGATGAGGAGGAGGAGGAGAAGGAGGAGGGGGAGGCGGAAGGAGAGGAGGACGCCACAGAGTACGCACACCACTGAAAGACGCACGCGCGAACTCAGTGTGAAAGCCTCGCGCGCGCGCCCTGGAACCCAGAGGGGCTTCACAATCCCCCGTTCTCGAGGAGGAGGAGGATCAGGAGGAGGAGGAGGAAGAGGAGGAGGAGGAGCCGACCATAGGGGGAACATGATACTGATGATGATGCTGATGATGAGGAGGAATAGGGGGAAGAGGAAGAAGAAGAAGAAGAAGAAGAAGAGGAGCCGACCGTAGGGTGATGACGATGACGATGACGATGACGATGATGATGATGATGATGATGATGATGATGATTCTGATTATGATGCTGATGCTGATGCTGATGCTGATGCTGATGCTGATGCTGATGATGATGATGATGATGATAGTGATGATGATAGTGATGATGATGAGGAGGAGGAGGAGGAGGAGGAGGAGGGGGGGGCAGATAGGGAGGACGAAGAGAAGCAGGAGGAACGAGGAGGAATAGAAAATAGGAGGACGAGGAAGAGGCGGAGTACGAGGGGGAAGGCCAATATATTCACCCGCTCAGGCCAGCGCGGCACCGTCTGCGTTGAGCTTGACGTCCAATTTCTTGGCGGACGGCGCGAGCAGGTCGCGGATGATCTCGTTGTAGATCTCCTGCGGAGCAATTGTTCGCCAAAGTCAAAAGTAAGGGAACTAGAACACACATGGCCGGACTCACGTGTGGGGAAGGCGGGGCCACACGCCTGAGGACCTGCATGCCCCTCTGTACGAAGGCCGAATGCCGGAAAGCTACGCGGACACGTGTATCCAGATCTCGCCCATACCGGGCCACGTCATGTGCATCCGGCTTCATGAAACAAAGAGGGTAAGGGTAGAGCTCCTTGCTTCATCAAGGATGCCCCTGCAACATTGCCTTCCTGGCCCAACTTTTACCATGGATCCTAGAGCTTGGGGCCTGACGCTGCTAAAGTTGTTCCAACATGGACATTCAAAGATACTGCTTCCTCACCTTGATGTTGAACTTGTGCCTGAGCAAAACCGATCACCCCACGCTACAACGTGCTTTGGCTGCCGAAACAACTCACGAACCCTTCGCCCGCGAAACGGATGTGCTCTCTCCCTCTGCTCTCTCTCTGCGGCTCTAAACTGCGTCGGGGATCAAAGTCGTGCAATGGACGCCAGTACCGCCCAATGCGAGGTAATTACAGGGTCGCCCGCCGAGGTTGCATTATTACGGTTGTGGACCTGGGTCGCCTAGGGATTTGCGACAAAGAGGGGAAGACCAGCAGCAGAAGGGAAGAGGATGAGGGGGATGCGAGAGGAGGAAAGGGGGGATGATGGATGATAATGATGATGATGCTGCTGCTGCTGATGATGATGATGGTGATGGTGATGGTGATGCTGATGATGCTGATCCTGTTGATGAGGATGATGACGACGAGGATGATGACGACAATGATGGTGATGATGCTGATGCTGATGCTGATGCTGCTGCTGATGAGTATGCTGACGATACTGATGATGATGATGCTGGTGATGGTGATGGTGATGGTGACGAATGTGATGATGATGATGATGATGGTGATGCTGCTGATGATGCTGCTGCTGATGATGATGATCCTGCTGATGAGGATGATGACGACGATGATGACGACGATGATGACGATGGTCATGATGCTGATGCTGATGCTGCTGATGATGATGCTGATGATACTGATGATGATGATGGTGGTGATGATGATGATGATGCTGCTGATGCTGCTGATGCTGCTGATGATGGTGATGACGATGCTGACGCTGACGCTGACGCTGATGCTGATGAAGATGAAGATGAAGATGAAGATGAAGATGAAGATGATGATGATGATGATGATGATGATGATGATGATGATGATGATGATGATGATGATGCTGATGATGATGATGATGATGATGATGATGATGATGGTGGTGGTGGTGGTGGTGATGACGATGGGGGCCAGGAACAGGAGCAGGAGAGGAAAGGGAGGAGGTGCAAGAGGAGGGATGCCAAGGAGGAGGGACAATGGGTTGAACAGAGAGCGAGGGCGGGTGGGGGAAGGGAGCGAGGAGGCATGACAGAGGGAAGGGGGCACACGGAGGAGAGGAGCAGGAATGGAGAGGGCGGGAGGACAGAGAAGGACAGAAGGGACGGCAGAAGGCCCCGCGCTCCCCCCTGGGCGCGCCCGCTGGACCACGTCCCTCCCGCTTGCCAGCCTGTCTCGAGGAGGAGGAGGAGGAGGAGGAGGAGGAGGAGGAGGAGGAGGAGGAGGAGGAGGAGGAGGAGGAGCAGCAGCGCCGACGGCCGATGCCACCCTGCAGCTCCTGGCCGGGCTTTGCTCCCTCGCCGCGGTCTCCGGGGGCCGCTCTCGGGCCGAGGGGCCCTCGCGAGCGGGTGCTCGGGGCGGAGAGCTGCCCCAAGGGGGGGGGGGGGTCGAGAGCTCCGGGGCCGCGCAGTGGGAAGAGCACATCCGTATCCTATCCAATATTGTCTCTCCTCACGCTATTCCCTCTCCTCATGCGTTCCCCGGGGCCCTGGGGCACACACAAATAAATACACACAAATAACAGGATTCCCCCTATGTTCCCCTATGTTCTGGGTTTTTGCCTTCCCCCCCACTGCCCATATTTTCCCAATATTTTCCTGGGGGTCGTCGATGACTTGTGTCTGTGTGTTTTCTTCCCTCCTGAATCCTCGGATATGCCCGAGGACAGAGCACGCAGAGGGCGGACGGAGAGGATGCCGAGGAGACGGAGGGCGGAGGAGGAGCGGGAGCGACGCTGCCAGGAGAGGGCGAGGAGACGAGGAGACGAGGAGGACGCCGAGGAGGAGCGGGAGGATGCCGAGGAGACGAGGGGGAGGAGGATGCCGAGGAGACGAGGAGGATACCGAGGAGGATGCCGAGGAGACGAGGAGGATGCCGAGGAGGATGCCGAGGAGGATGCCGAGGAGGATGCCGAGGAGGATGCCGAGGAGGAGCGGGAGCGACGCTGCCAGGAGTCGATGTCGTCACCGAAGCACTAGTGCAACCGCAGGCGACCGCCTCACCGATTGCCTGAGCCGCGCCTGCACGAGGCGTGTGGGAACTGAAGGGCCAGCCCGATTGAGCCTTTGACACGTGTGGTAGGCCGAGTGCATGGTACCATACAGAAAGGCGGCGGAAGAGGAGCAGGAGAAGGGTGAGCAGGATGACAGCAATGATGGTTGTTGAAAAGCGTATGCGTTCACAAGGCATGCGTGCCACACACAGTAGTCAATGTAGTCATAAGCTGATTCAGCGGGAGAGGGATGAGGACAGAGCAAGATGACACGGAACTGGTGAACGTACGACCTCAACGGATAGAAACGTCAGGTGCGACCGGCTGGCCCTGTTACGATGATCAATCTGCAAGAAGGTGGAGGGGGGTCCTCTCCCCCGCACGGACGAAACTCATGTTCTCGTTGCGCATCCAAACGTGGTACGAGTAGCCAGGGAAACACATGTAGTCAAAACCAAGAGGGTTTGCAAGCTCCAGGCCCATATGGACGAATGCATGGTATAAGAATGGAATGACCGCTAATTGGAACACCTGCACCACAATCTTGATCATAGGGACAGTATTGATGTCACTGTGGTCGCCTGCCGCGAAGCCGATGGCCAGCCCACACTTCACAGCGATCAAGCTGTTGGATAAGATGATGCTCAAAACCAACAAGTGCACGTACGCGAACGGCACCTGGGTGTCCGTGTACGAAAATATGATGCCGATGGAACCACGGGCCTTTACACAAAGCTCGTTCAACTTCGGCAAGACGAGGTCCCGAAACGGAAGCTTGTCCTTGAGAGCCAATTGGTGTATGACCTGGCCGATCCACACCCAGACAACCTGCGCCTTTGCCGTTTCCTTGCTCAGGATCTCCAGCTCCTCGATCGTCAGTAAGCCCACGTCTGAGAACTTTTGGAGGTCCTCCCTCGACTCCATACCCTGGGCCTGCGCGTAGATGAGTCTGTGCGAGAGGAGGCCGAGCCGCAGGATGCGCTCCTTGACTTCCCGATGTTCCTTGCCTGGCAGCTGGATCGAGAGAATCAGCATGAGGTCGTCGATGGCGCCCCAGAGGCCGCCGACGCCATCCTTTCGGATGCTCCACCAACGCCCGAAGAGCGTGGTAACGAACATGCTCACCATGAAACCGATCAGGGCTTCAAAGTAGCCGGCCATCCTCTCAAAGCTCTGAGAGATATCGTTCATGGAGCTTTTCCCCATCGATAGAGAGCTCCTCTGGGCTAAGATGGCGGCAGTGGCGCAGGTAAGGGTGACCATCCAATATGTGGCGCAAGTCCGCCAGAGCTCCTTGTCCGTGAGCACCGTGCCCGAGACCATGAACAGCGCCTTGAAAGTCCCCACTTCCTCTGAATACTTGATAAGCTGAGCATCGCCCTCCTTGCCAGTGCAGGAGAACTCGCTGTGCTGAAACATAGCCAATCCTCGCTCGTCGACGTAGTCGGCACCAAGGCCTTCAGCCTCGCAATTTGCCTGCAGCTGCCACGTGGACTTGACGGACGATCGCAGTCGGCTCAAGCGGTATGTGTCCATTCTGGCCGCCTTGGGGTGATCGTGTCTCGTCTCTTCCTCATTCGGGGCTAGGGCGGGATCGACTGGCGCGCGGCCACCATCAGAGGGGCTCCTCGTCAGCAGCGGAGTCTTTTCGGTTGGAAGCTCGGTCATGCCTCCAGCCTCGCCATGTACTCAATGTGTAGGGTGCATGTATGTCAGGAATCTGCCAAAGCCCAGGAGGCTACGGAGGGTAAGGAGGAGGAGGAGGACAGGGAGGAGTAAGAGCTGAGGTCTCCCTAGGAGGAGGTTGGCGGCGCTCACGTTGGAGTGGGGCGACATGAGGCCACCTTCCAAGAAGGCCTGGGGCTTTTTGTGGGGCGCACAAGGACATGCTAGTCCGATGTGTCCTCCTCGGAGGTGTGCGTCCGACCCGAACGCATAGTATTACCATCTTGCGGTATATCGTTTCCCGAGCGGTATGGCCAGAAAGCGTCCGCCACAGAGCTCATACCATGAGACTTCTCGGCGCGCGCGCGTCGCCCCTTGGTGGGCGACGCACACATACAGTCGGGGCCTTGACCTAAAGAACCCTAAATAAGGAACGAGGCCCCTTTTTTCCATAAGTTAACCTTCGATTTCCGATCCAAAACATAAGGGAAACCTGAGGCAAGCTGCGAAACACTTAAGGAACGCGGAGCCCCTCCCAACGAAAAGGGTTCCTTCTTCAGGGCCCCGACTGGAGTATTAGCATGTCTTGGTGACGCCGGTTTTGCGAAGGGTCCAGACCCTTAGAGGCTTCTGAACAGCAGGAGAGCCCAGAATCGAATCGATAAGTCGGATCGGCGATCGGAATGGATCGGATCGGCGGAAATCGGCAAAGTATGAAGGCCTCCATTGAGACACCGGAATCCGGATCGGAATCCGAAGTCGAATCGAATCGGGGTCGGAATCTGTCTGGATTCGAATCCGAGGAGCCGACCTGGGCCTCAGAGCAGGCCGCGCAGGACGGCAGGAGGCCCTCGGCGAGGCGATGCGCTCTCTCCGAGGGCCGCCCCCCCCCCCCCTCGCGCGGGCCTTGGCCCCCTCCCGGGTGTCCGCCC